CAATCACTCATTCACCTTTATTTTCTAATCATCGTCCTGTTTTGATGTTAGAAATATGGCAGTAGAATCAACAGACAAAGTCCTATTCTCATGGGGACGCATATCAAAGTGTGATTAAAGCTTAGTGACAACAGGAAAATCACCAGATTCTGGGAAGTTAAACAGCATACCAATAAATAATTCATGGGTCAAAGAAGGAATCTCAAGGGAAATAAAAAAAAATCATCAACATTCTGAGGTGAAGCTGAAGCACAGCCAGGAGGAAAATTTATGGGACCAGCAAACATTAGAAAAAAGGAAACAAATCAATAATCAAAGTTCTCACTTCAAGAAACTAGAAAAAGAAAAAAAATATATACCCAAGCGAGCAGAAGAAATGAAATAAAAGCAGAAGAAGACAGTGAAATGGAAAACAGAGAGAAAAACCAATGAAATAGAAAAACGGTTCTTCAAAATTTCAATAAAACTGAAAAATCTCATCAGGCATGGTGGCGCATGCCTATAATCCCAGCACTAGGGAGGCTGAGGCAGGAGGATCGCTGTGAGTTCGAGACCAGCTTGGGCTACATAGTGAGTTCCAGGTCAGTCTCAACTACATAGTGAGATCCTGTCTCAAAAAAAATTTTTTTTCTGATAAATCTCTAGGAATACTGACAAGAATAAAAAATATAAAATACATATTACCAGATCAGAAAGTAGATGAAGGATATTAGCACAGATCTGCTGTTGTTAAAAAGACAACAAGCAGATACTCCAAACAACTTTATGCTTGTAAATTCAATACTTTAAAAGAAATGGACCAATTCCTCAAATTCCACAAAGCCCCCAAACTCAACCAAGTTGAAATAAACTATGGAAACAGCCCTATAACAATTAGAGAGACAGAGTTTGTAATTTTAAAAGCTTCTAAGGTGGTTTTACTGGAGAGTTCTTCCAGGCATTTACAGAAGAATTAATACCAACTTTATACCCTGCATTAGAGAAAATCAAAAATGGGAATGAGTCCTGATTCATTTTTGAAACTGTTTCGACTGATTTCTAAACTAGATAAAGATAGCGTAAGAAGAGAATAACCACAGCCAATGTCTCTCATAAACTTAGGTGCAAAACTCCTCAGCAAAATATTAGTAAGTTGAATTCAGCAACAAATAGACCTAAATTAGGGATGTGAGGAGATTTAACAAAATTAGACGAGACCAGATTTACATAGACTTTGTTTCAATTACCAGCCTTCTGTGCAATGTGATATTTCACTGAACCTCAGTTAAGTTACCCATAATTTGGGGTAACATATATTGTAGGAGTAATATGAGTATTTAGTAAATGAAACAGTATATGTGAGAAGTCAATGGAAATTATCATTTTGACACATCTGTGCCTTTAATAAACAATTTCCAGCCAGGTGTGGTGGCACATGCCTGTAATCCCAGCACTTGGGAGGCTGAGGCAGGAGGATGACTGTGAGTTTGAGAGCAGCCTGGGCTACATAGTGAGTTCCAGGTCAGTCTCAACTACATAGTGAGACCCTGTCTCAAAAAACAAACAAACAAAAAAATAATTTCCATGCTCTCTTTTTTAATTTTCAAGTTTATCACAATGTAATATAAGTAGATATTAATAAAGAAAATATAAAAAGCATTCTTCTATGGAAAAATAAAACAAAATTCATAAAAGTAATTAGAAAATAACAATAGTTAATACATTATGCTTCATAAACTTAAAAGAATGGTCACAGTGTTACTCAGAGTTCAAGCTGCGGACAGGAAGGCTGTCTCTAACGAAGAAGAGACAGACAGATAAAAGCACACAATTTTCTCTTCGATGAACTAAGAGAAGCTAGTAGTATAAGAGAAACAAGTTAACATATGCATTACATAGTTTTGAAACAAAGGAATAGATATTTTGGGGAATTATTTGGACTTCTCCCCACTTCCTATGTCCATAGTATTTCTATTCAGATACTTATCTTGGGCCAGGGTTGGAGCTCCATGACACCGCACCTGCCTGGCATGTGCAATGTCCTGAGTTTAATCCCCAGTACCAAGAAAAAAAAATACAGATTACATATTTTAGTGTTATTTATGTATCATTATGTGTATCTTTAAAAGGAACATTATTCAGTATCTCTGTATCTATCTCTTAGCAACTTCCGTTAAGTTGCCTACAATATACCGATGTGCCTACACTACATGCACCCCTATAATTCAACCACCAGGGGCATGAGGCGTATGGGCTTTTAAAAAGGGGACCACAACACCTGCCTTTGAAAACTTGTCTATGTAGCCCAGGCAACATCAGGTCCAACTAGAGCATGCATCCTGGGCCTCTGGCACCCACACGTGCACATGGCACATAGTACGTGCCCAGTAAAAACCAGAGGAACGACTGAGCGGTCACTTCAGTCCCACAGCCACTGGTGCGATGGGTACGGACCCTCCCTCTGGAGCAGAAGCTGGGGCAGGGCCAGAACAGTAGGCCAGTGGAGCTGCTCTCCTGTCTGGGCCACAGCCACAGCCAGCGTAGCCAGGTTGGAAAGCTGGAGCCAGGCTTAGTCTTGGGAGCCTGGCAGCACCAGCTAGAGGTACAGGGCCTAGGGAGGGGGGCACCTGCTGGGTGACTGTGCCAGGGCCATGAAGGGGCCTCCCCGCCACTCTCTGTGGGCTGCGGTGGAACTCGCCCATCCAGGCACAGTTGCTGAGCCCCATGCCATGGCCCATGTGGTTTTGTGGGTGCAGCACACAGCCACGGGGCAAAGCGCCTGACCACTGTGTGAGCAAGCGCTCAGTATCACATACACACCCCACCGTGCACACCTCACACACTCACAGCCGTACTCGCTCATCCAGACACAGGCACACTCAGACACGCACACACCCTATGCAGACACTCACAGAGAACACACTCAAACACACACACACTCATATACGGGCCTGCTTCTGACAGCTTGCTCCAGATGCCCTGGCACTGTGGGCCCCCCGCCCTGCCCCAGCCCCTCAGAAGTAAAAGCCAGTCATGGATGTTGTGTCTTGAGTTGCTGTGTTGAGAAACCTGTGCCCATTGTATGCACTGAGCAAAGGCCATGTAAGGGCCGGGGCCTGCAAGCCAGGGGGTGAGCCCTTCACAGAAACCTGTTTGGCCCCACTTTGATTTAAACCTCGAGCCTCTAACTGTGCAGACGTACATTTTGCCATTGAAGCAGCCCCATCTGTGGTGTCTGTTAGGACAGCCAGAGCCGCCTGTACCTCCAGGTCCCTAAACACCACCATGTGGCTTTTCCTGCTTTCTGATCTCCCCTGGCATGCCCTCTCCAGCTACCTAGCATCCTTGGTACTCTCTGAGTGCACAGAGCACATTCCCACCCGAGGGTCTTTGCAATTCCGTTTCCTCTGCCTGTTACACTCATCTTTCATGGCAAATCCCCTCACTTCCTCCAAGTGGTCACTCAAAAGTCACTGTTGCAGTCATGGCTTGAAAGGGAACAGATTTAGTCCGGGGCACATAATTTATAGGATTATTGTATGATATCCACCCCAAAAGGCAAATGCAGAAGAGTGCAAGAGACCTGTCTGTATGCAAGAGACCCGAAGAATCCAGCCGAGGCCCTGGATCCCACGGCCATGTCCGAATGTGTCCAGCCAGAAGCCTACAGCCCACGGCAATGTCTCCTGCAAGTCCATGTCGAGGATCTGCATCCGGAAGGCCCGGAGGTGGAAGCTAGAAAGCCTGTGCCGGCGGCGAAGGACCTGTTCCAGAAGGCCGAGGGATCTGCGCTGGAGCCAGGAAGCCACGCTCAAGGCAAAGACCAGAAGAGAGCCGCTCCCACGAAGAGAACACCAGCCATCCCCGGCGACAGCGAGGAACTGGGTTCCAATCGGGAAAACCAGCCTCGGCAAGTCTCTCTGGGAAGATCAACAGCACGCAGTCTTCGCCTCACGTCCTCCTTTTATATCATTTTGGCAACAACCCTCAGGTGGATCTTCCACGCCCCGGACCACGCTGGCTCGGTTCAGCTGGGCGCCCAAGCTGACCATTAGTTAATCCACCGCAGCTACCTTCTCGAAGAAGCAGACCCTGAAAAACTAAAATTGCAACTGACCTCTCTACCAGAGCTTTCAACTCCCTTTCATTTTCTACTTTAAATTTTTAAATGCATTTTTCACTTAGCAAAATATGTAACCCAGAAGAACAAGGATATTTGTGTGCTTTGTACTAAACCCCAACCGCCCAGGACTGTGACGCACAGCTACTTTTCAGCGATTGCAGTATTTGGAGAGGATCCCTCCGGCAGGGACACCACGCTAAACCAGGGCCGCCCAGCAGATGGCAGGCGCCAGACGCGGGAGAAAGCACGGCGCAGACCCGAAGTGCAGGACAGCGTGCTTGGGCTTAATCCTGTTCCGGGTACCAAAAAGGCTGTCGTAGGCGGCCAGCTGAGGGGCTGATAAAGCATTTAGCTAGCACAGGAGGCTCTTTACCGAAAATTCAGGGGCAAAGAAAACATACGCTGCCGCTGCTGAGAACAAACAAGGCCAGTCTTCCCACGGTGGAGAAAGCGGGGCGGGTCCTGTCGCCTTGGATCTACGTCCCTCCTCAAAGGACAAACTCATCACCGGAAGGCAGAAGATGCTAGTCTTACTGTGAAGATGCTCGGTTACAGGAGCCCGAGCCTCCCTCTGGGCCCCTGTCCAAGCTGCCTTCTCCCTAGGTGCTTCAGTTACCCATCCAATCAGGGAATTGGGTTGCAGTGGTAACCAGCCCTTCAAAAGCCACATTCAAGGTGAAACTGCCTTATCGATTTCAGCATTCGAGTGTGTCAGGTTAAGGTGAGGCTCCAGGAAAGTGCTTGAGAAGCTGAACCTGCTACCCAGAGCAATACAACCAGCAGGTCTCACTCACAGTCACGGCTACGGTGACTACAAGAGCCGGCATGCACTGAGCACTTGCTGTGTGCCACGCATGCGCGGGCGCATGGTCATTTGCACTATCTCGTCGCTTCTCAGCGCAGCGCTCTCAAGTATGCACTCTTCTCATCCTCACATTACAGGTGACGCAAGAAATGTGGTCACTTGACCAGGTACTTCTGTGCAGCTCATCCTCAACCTTGGAGAGGGAGAGGTCCGATGCGTGGTTGTACCACCGATCCTACCAGTCTCAGAGAGCCTCTAGTCCTGGCCCGTGTGTCAGATGAAGGCTGGAGACCAGCCTGCGTTCCACAGGCTCCATCAAAGTCTGTCTGAACAGTTATTCATGAAGAACCACCCCTTGCCTTAATGTCCCCACTAACTGGGAGATCAAATTCCAGGCTTTTATTTTGCCTTCCCCAGATTTTAAATTTTCATCAGCCTGTGCAGCCACTAAAAACTTTTCACACACGATGTTGTGAACGTAGTTCATCTCTTGCTTTGGGAATTCTATAAACCAGTAGACTGAACTGTTAGTGTCTCATGATGTGAATTCTGGCTTTTATCGCCATTAGCTGGCGTCCTTGATCAAGCTGGTTCACTCATTGGTAAAATGGGGACAATGATATTCACATGAGGATGTGTTATGTACTAGACCATTGCTGTCTAGTGCCAATGGGAGCCTCAAACGTAAGTCACTTATATAATTTTAAAGTTTCTACTAGCCACATTAAAAGAGGTGAAGGGAACAGGTGAATGAAAGCATGTGGCAGTCAGGTACCATTATTAATTTTCACAATTTGTTTTATGTAACCTGATATCTTCAAAATATCGTCTTGTCAATATCTAGTCACGAGATAGTTGTTAGTGGGAATTTTCATATTTTAATTCCATAATAGGTTTTCACAATCAGTTGTATTTTTTACACCTCCAGGACATCTCGCTTGTACTGGTCGCACTTCAAATGTTCTGTCAGTCACGTGTACAGGATGGTCCTGTTCTGAGCTCTTCCCTGACCTCAGCAGGTAATGGGCTACCTTTGAAAACCTTCTCTGTCCGGGCCACTTTTTTCTAGTGTCACAAACAGGATTTTCACATCTTCTGAAAATATTCACTTTGTCCTTTGTCCTACCATGGTAGGAGTGCTTGCAACAAGTATGGTAGACTGAGAAACACTGAGGGAGAGGAGCTCAGAGGAGGGAGGGATGGTAAGTAGTAGGAGGAACCATGTTCTTCCTGAGGATGGGCTTAGCCTTGTCGTGTCCTGGAACTGAGGTTCTTGTTGCTCTGAGACGGCGACCTTGAACCTGATTTGTGGCTCAGATGCTCCCCTGGCAACTCTGTGGCCTGAACAGAAGCCCTCATTAGGAGCGAGCACCACCTCTGTAGCCGGCATTTCCATTTGATAATTATTAGGAGGAAGGGCTCCAGCTGCGCATGGACTGTTTTCGGAGAAAAACCAGGGGCTGGGTTGGGAGATGGGAGCCAGTGTGAGGATCTCCTGACAGCATTGGTGCCTGGGACTCCTGGAGAGCGCAGGGCCAGGCGAACAGAGCTGGGGCCACGGAGGACTGACAAAGACAAGGAGGAGCCCTAGAAGACTGGACAGGGGCCAAGTGGGCAGCACAGGTGGCCAGCAGGACTCCTGGGCTCTCTGGCCATTCTGGGGTGGCAGAGACCCATCACTGTCCCTGCACCCCTCCAGTTCCCAGGTGGACCCTCCTTTTCTCTAGAGGGCAGTAGCTGAGGCCAGAGCTCTGCATTCAGATGGCCCAGGTTCAAGTTCTGGATCTGCTGCTACTGTGTGAATTTGGCCAGTACCTCTCTTAGTGTTGGTGCCCTCCTCTGTGAACGGGGTGGTGACTTCTTCCTGGAGTTTTCTGAGCATCGAATGAGGCAATGAAAGCGAGTCTTAGCATCATGCTAGGCCAGCATCATACTTTACTGGGGAGAGAGTTGTTCACCATACTTGTCTTGTCTAGGACAGAAGTACCCTGTTATTTTTCTCAGTTAACTTACGTTAGGGGTTAAAATACATTAATGTATAGCCATGATGATAGGGAAGAATTTCTGGTATATACTGGTACATGAAAAAAGCAAGTGCAGCGCTGTATGCCATAGGAGCCAGTGCAGAATAGATACATGTGGCCTACATTTGGAAAGGCACAGAGGTACTGGAAGGTGGAGACTGGGGAGGGGAACTGGGAATGGGCATCAGAGAGGTCACTTCCATTATCCAGTCCCTAGTTCATTTTTCCAGGAGTACGCACTACTCTTACTTTCTTTTTGGGGCATGCATTACTTTTAAAATTTAAAATAAGCACTAAAAATACCCTTCTGCCCTCCCACCAATTACAAGGGGTAGGAAATGTCCACATGCAGAAGGAAGAGCATGGAAGGGCAGTGCTGTTCTGTTGACTGATGCTTGAGGTCCCAGGATCCTTTCCTGAGACAATGGCTTTCTCTTAAATTCATTTTCCATGTGTCCCCATTCGGGCACCTGCCGGGATACGATGCAAGCACCAGGAAGGCACCCAAGGGACCAATTGCGCAGGACACGTATTCACCCAACACACCAAGCATTTCACACACATGCACACAGTGTGATCAAGGGCGGCACGTACCCCTCAACAGCCAAGCCACCTCACACCCTCAATGGCAACCGAAGGGTCCTCTGCTTCACTCCTCATGTCCTAGTCCCAAAGCCCTCTGCAACTACAAACATGTCCCCAACAACCAAACCCTTCATCAGCCCCAACAACCAAAATATTTCATACACACATCCCAATAATTAAGGGAGTGTCACACACCCATTTGATAATCAATACACTTCGTACATACATATCAATAACCAGAGTTACACACACACACACACACACACACACACACTCTAATCGGAGGGGCTTTTCCTATACACCCAATAATCAAAGCCCTTCATGCATGTACAGCAATAGCCAAAAAGCTTCACACACAGAAATACGTACAAAATCCCAATAATCAAAGGGCTTCACAACCCACCCAGTGATCAAAGCACATCATGCACCCGCGCCAGTAACCAGAGCTTCACACACATTTCCCCAACAACAAAAGCACTCCACAAACACACATACACACTCCAAAGAGCTTTACTCCCAACCAGAGCACTTTGTTTACAGCCCCCAACGACCGAATCATTTTACTCCTACACCCCAACAACTAAAGCACTCCGTGAAACCCTTCCTCCCGAACCTCTAAAGCACTTGGATTTGCTTTCAGCAGCAGCAGATACTTGAACACCAAGACATTAGATAGTGATTTTCCTTTCAGATTAATGAGCAGAGAAAGATTTGGTGGGGGGGGCAGGAATGGCAGGAGAGAGCAATTACACCCAACTCTTTTCTCTGTTGATTAGGGATTCCTTCTCCAGCCTGCTTTGGCTCTGGCTAAATCTTTTTCTAATGAGATGTGGCTTATCCAGATCAGGGCGCTGAGAAAAAAGTTGCAATTAACTTTAAGAAGAAAAGGAGTGAATGAGAAAGAGAAGGAAGTGTGGAGGGGAGCAGGGCCTGTGAGTGGGGGCAGGGCCTGGCCTTGCTCTTGGCGGCCAGGAGAGCCAGTGAGGATGAGGAGGTTCCCTGCAGGTGGAGTGGTCAGGCCGGGCTCCCTGGGGCCATCCACCTCTCAGAGTCTGCCACTCCTGTTCTGTGGACTGCAGGGCTGAGGGAAGGTCCCTGCAATGCTCCTGTGGGTCTGGGTCAAGCCTCTCTCTGGTCACCTTGGACCCAATCCAGGATGAGGAAGTGGTGGGTTTTTACCTCCTAGGCACATCTTCCTCCCAGTTGCTTTCCTCCCTTTTGCCTGCTCCTCCCCAAAAGACATGGGCTCTCAACTACGTGCCAGGAATCTGTGACCTCCCTGCCCAGTGTCAGGCCAGCGCCAGCTCTTATCTTAGGAGCTGCTGGGGTTCAGCCATCCCCTGGCAGCAGAGCCAAGAGCGATGGTCTTGAAGGAGATCTCAGGCGTGAGTACCAATGCTGGGTCCCCTTGTCCTGCCTCACTCTTCCAATCTAGGTATGGGGACTGAAGTTGTTTTCATGCAGGTGACTTAGCAGGGCAGAGAGGGGCTAGGATTGAAAGGACATTTCACACCGAAATGGAGGGAAGGCCATTGAGCTTCTGGAACCAGTACAGATTGACCTTTGTGTGCCTTTGATTGCCAGGGTCAAGCTTAACCAAGCCACAGCTGTAGACTAGTGGCTTCCTCTCTCTGGAGATGACTGTCTCCTCTGTTAAGAAAAATCAAGGGGAATGCAGCAGATTCTGTGGCCTCTGCCAGTCCCAGATCCAATGAGAGGCACAGACTGCCTTTGCAATTTCAGTCACCTCATCTCAGTTCATCCCCAGCAAATTCTTATCTCTCCAGGGACTAGTTTGCATCCTATTTGGTGATGAATATCCAGCAGTCCCTGGGGGCACCTGGCACAAATGTTGAGGTCTCTAGCCTGGCCCTTGTGGGAGGGCCTCAGATAATAGCTTGACATCTGTATGCCAGCTGAGCCAGGGACCCCAAGCTTGGATCAGCTGGAATTAGGCTAGGAGGAAGGGTTAGAAGAGCAGGGGTGAGTGTAGTTACCATACTCTTTGGTCACATGCGAGCATATACACTGAAGTGTCCAGAGCTGGTTGACTTTATTTTCCTCTCCTCTTCCCATCCTGTCAACCTTCCTCTGTGAATTACAAGCAATTGTGAATTATATTTTTGACTCCATGGGAAAAGTGATCTGAGACTGTGAGTCTTGCCCCATCCGTCTTGCCTGGTACGCAAAGAAGAAAGGCCTCTGTGTGTTGGTGTCCACCATGGACACATGGCTCCCTAGAGAGATGTCTGGGTGACCCTTTACCAAATAAGCTACGCAGATGACCCCAGGCTGGGGGAACAGATGAGCTGAGCCCATCTCTCCTACACTGAAGTTCCAGAGAGGTCCCAGGAGGTCCCATCTTCAAAGCTCAGAGCGTGGTACCTGAGTTTCTGGACAGCCCTGTTTTCTGCCCCTGCACCCCACCGCATTAGCTGCTGGAGACAATCTGGGCTTTCTCCTTTCTCCCCCCTGGCTGTTGTCACTCTAATAAGCATATGTGCTAGAAATACTAGCTGCAGTGCTAAGTTAGAAATTCTTCTTAAACATATAGCAAGGTCAGATGAAGGGAAAAAAAAATAGAAAACAAAACACAAAACCCTGAAACAGAAATTGGACACAGAAGGGCAGATGTAGACTGAACAGGAAGTGCTGGCCCTAGGCTAAATGAAACAGCTGTCACCATTGTTCTGGACCAAGAACTGCCTTTGCAAACTCCATGTGGGCCAGGCTCAGAAAGCAGATGTTAATAATTACAGCACATGAAACGAAGGGCACAGGATTAGGCAAGTGACGAAAAAGAAATGGTACCAGTAGATTTATAACTCACTCTAGCAAATCTGCTTGGGCTGATGTGGGGGGTGGGCTTGGCAGCTTCACTGCAGAGGCCCCTGCCCAGTACCCTTTCTAGTTTGGCCTTTCAACTTCCAGGATTGTCTCAGAATTGGGGGATTGCTTAGTTTTTTTTTTTTTTTTTTTTTT